ACAAATTATGACCCTCGTACCCACAGACATTCGGAACTAGATAGGACAGCTGGAATGGAGTGGTTCACTTGCTTGTACGCAAGCCGATCAGCATATTGTTGCACGGATAGGATGTCGAATGTCTGCATAAGATGTCGGAAGCAAAAATGAAGCTAGAACCGATTACGAAGGACTTTACGAGATAAGTTCATATGCCAACCATCCTGAAGCATCCATTTCTTCTATTTCACTGTTCAGTGAGTTACCCGCATGGAGAAATCTCCGCCGCCGACTTCCACGACCGCTGCCTGAGCGGACGGACCTACGTGGTCGCACCTGGCGATGGTGGGGCAAGCTGCCTTCACGTTGACCTGGCGCTCTAGAACGCCGCGGGGTTGGCTGCAATCGTATCAGATGTTTACTGTTGACATCCATGGGGAAAGCCTGAGGAGCGTGGGCCCACCTCAGGTGACGACTGTCACGGCGCCGCCGCTGGCCCGGATCAGGCCCGGATGGATCCGCGCTGCTCTCCCCGAGCATCAGCGGAACTGTCGCTCTACCTGGCGTTCGTGGGACAAGGTTTGACAGTGATCGGTTCGGTAGGTTCTGATAACTGAGTTGTCTGCAAGCAAAAATTTTGGACTTCGTGAATTTGGATGAATTTTACTTGACCTAGAGTAACCAAATTTAAGCTGTACGAAGGAAAACAGGCATGGCACATCCAATGGGGGAAGGTTTCACAGCGATCGGTGCACTGGTTCCCTAGGATCTGGGCTGCCTACCTTATGCATACACAATTTTCCCTGCACATTTGTAAGGTGTTTGACCTCAGGAGAAGGCTTTGATATTGTCACCTCATGGCTCATCTTGTTGCACTGAATCGATTGGTGAAAGTTTAAAGTCGATTGGACGAATGGTGTCGGAGAACGAGCGCGTCTGCTTCATATGTCGGCTTTTTAGACTCTGCCCGTGCGTTTGCTACTGCGCTCAGTTTGCGAATTTGGCGCGTTAGTTGCGTTGGACGACGCGGAAACGCCGGGAATCTTCGTCGCGGTGTAAACGTTGGAAACGTTTTTCGGGGTTGTCCGGTTTTCACCGTTCATCGTGGGCTTGTAGCTGACGTTCTGCGATTTTAACGTTACAGGCAGGTGGCAGTTATTCCATCAGCACAGCGTTGCTAACAGTACCTCTGCTATGGCGTGACAGGCAGCATAGCAAGCAGCTTCGTAAGGGAGGTGTATTTGGCACCATTTGGCTTTGATTTAGTGTACTCATGCCTATTGAGGGAGAAGACCTTTTTACCTGTTAGGGAAAGTCCGGGACAAGTGATCATTTTATAATGCTCCTGCACCTGTTAATCCACCACTTCCCTGTGATTGCTGCTCTTGTGCAGCATGGTTTTTGTGGGATTTGGTGTATTATCATAAATTATATTTAGCTCATCAGCTTCCTTACTTGTGAGACAGTTTTAATAAATATTTTTGTCAACATTTCATCTTTCCATCTCTTTCAGCCCTCAATGCATTACTCTTTCTGCAGCCTGATTACTAAACTGGTAAAAATGCAATGCTTGGAACATATCCCTGTGGCAACTGCACTAGAAATTCATTACATACAAATGATAGATCTGAGTGGTCAGAGTTTGGCTGTTTGGCACATATTCAGCACTAATTGCAGTGCATAGAGAGACAATGTTTTTGGGAATTATGATGTTGGGACAGTATAGGTGAAAATGCTCTAAAACATTATTTTCCACCAGAATGATATGCAATTTTAGCTCAATTTGGTCTGCCTTGAGCTTTGTTCATGTGAGTGCCTAGTTCAGTGCACCAAACTGGTCAAGGTGTTTGGGGCAGAGGTGTGACTTGTTGCGGACTGGACTGACTGCATTTTGCAAGCAAATGAAATGTATTGTAAACTTATAAGGCTGGTGTTGCTTTTGCACAATTTTATGTTTTTTTCATTTATCACAAGTAAAAGGACAATGTCCATGTTGATAAGGTTTCAATTTCCATGTACTTTCACATATTTCTGGCCTTTAGAGCCTGCATGGTGAGTCGATTGGTGCTGCATTTTTGAGTGATTAGAAACATGCTTCAAAAATGTATTTTCCCAATACTTGATCATTACACTGTGTCATCTTTTCCACAGTGTTATATTCACTAATTTTGACTAGATGCAAATGGATGTACCAAATACGTTGCACCACATATAGCAGACAGTTTTCAAACCTGGGCATCTTTGATATAAATAAATTTCTAAAGACATTTGGAAAACAGTTACAGGCATGTAACCAAGCTGGCTATGCAATAAAATGTCTGGGCAGTTGTAGCAACACTGGGTGTCAATATGCATATGGACATGTTTGACATGACACATTGCCCTGTTGTGTTAGATGTGAGAGGCAGGAGTACCCAGTTTGACCAGTGGGCAGAAAACACCAGCATAACACCAGCAGTTAGCTGGATGGCACCCAGCTACAACCCTGCCCTAATGACCCTGAATTGCCATAGAGGGAGAGCTTTCTCACAGCCAGCAGCTTCAGCAGACAGGCAAATGCATAAGACTGAGGAGGGAGCTCAGCAGCTCAGCTCAACCCCTGGGCTGCAAGTTGGGGAAGGGGGTGCTGAAGGCCCCATCTCCAACTGAATATGATCCTGCAACTTAAACCCTAGGGCAGAGTGAGAAAAAACCTCATCAGCCAGCAATCCATAATGGTCAGGGCTTTATGTGTCACCAACTGCCAGTGTTATTTTGAGGTGGATCATTGAACCATTACAGCCAATTAATGCCTCCTGTTAAGAAAACAATCTTAACAGACCCCTCTCCCTTAGTTCAATGTAATGAACTGTACACTCATGAGTGATCAGAAGAAGTGATTTATGGTGAAAAAGAGTGAACTACAGTACCATATGTTCTTTTCCCTATTTATTTTTCAATCAAAACATTTTGGATGGATGGATGTCAGGAATCAAGACTTCATTCTAACCAGTGTGTGTTGTTGGGTCCTGACCCCTACAGTCTGATTGCACTAATCCAGGTCAAGGGCAGAATTTAGTGGTGAAGGTTTAACATGCCACGATGCTTGGCACATTTCCTCCTGCCCTCTGACATCAAACATTGGATGCTTTGGGTTTATCTTCGTCAAGGTTCTCGGCCCTGGTCTCCCACGACAACGCATCGGGTGCGCTGACCGGACCCGCCGCTGTCCGCGCCGCAGGCCGAGTGGGTGCGCCATGGCCTCCAGCATAGAGTCCTACGTGGGCCACACTGTCTCCGTCATCACAGCAGATGGCCGCAACATCGTGGGCACGCTGAAAGGCTTCGACCAGACCATCAACATCATCCTGGATGAGAGTCACGAGCGTGTGTACAGCCAGAGCGCCGGCGTGGAGCAGGTGAGGCCCGGCTACAGCGGTACGCCGCCCCGAGCTCCCAGAAACGCTGCATTTTCCACCGAGACTGACCAGACATCAGGCCTACATGTATATGTTAGCAAGACGAAACATTACGAGATATCGCCTTTCGACATGCAAAATACAAGACCGACCACAAGATAGGCATTATCATTTATTATCGCAGAAGGAAAATCTCTAAGTTTCTTATGAGAAACAGCCCAGACCAACCCGTTGAACTAAAATGCACCAACGTGGTGTATCAATTCAAACGCAATACCGAAGGCTGTAAACTTCGTTCCATACACTACCTTGGTGTAACCACAACGACACCCTCACGACGGCTGTCAATGTACTTTTTTATGGCAACTTCAAATTTGGGAAAACATGTTTTTTAACGATGCCATCTCCGTGGTCTGGGGGGAAGATGCTGGCCTCGTAATCCAGCGGCAGCTGGGTACGAGTTCCAGAGCGGAGCGCATTGTTTGGCCCAATTCAGATGGAAAAGTCAGCTGACAACTGGCCAACGAGCGTCGACTCTGGCCCGGGGCGACCGTGTCGCAGCATTGTGCGGGACGTAAAACCATTCGCATTCCTGTCTGGCGCAAGGGCGGAGGATAATTATCGGTGAGCTGGACAGTACGGCTTGGTGGTGGGTTCGAGGGTACACGCAACAAGCCATGCTTGGCAGGCACTATGAACCCAAGGTCACCCATACAAACTATTCGGAATAATTTAAGGGAATCGAACTCTCCAGGATTAAATAGGCAAGGCAAACTCTCCCACAACCCTTGAGTTATTAAGTGGTTGGTGGTGAGTATCATAGACTGTGATTGTGGTAATGTGTTGATGTCTTGTAGTATTCCATCATGGAGGTATTTTATATGAAGTTAAATTCCTTATAGGATTCTGTCTTGCTGCAATTGGTCATGCTTCATTTGTTTTCTCTGAGCTTAAATGTTTTTTTCATATAGTAATGCACAACTTGCATTGTCACAATTGTAAAATTTATTTATTTTGCCTTTAGAGGTCCCTGACGGTAAAGTAAGATCTCGAAACGTAATATAATATAAAGTAGACATTTAAACATTCGTAAATGGTTGCATAGGTTACGAATTTGTATTCCGGTCGTTTTCCCTGCCTAGAAATAGTATACGGATATGACATTCTAGACTGGATGAAGGCGGACTTGTTTGGAACAATTGCATTGCTTTTGCATGTGAATAGAAGTAACGTTGGTGAACCATAACGACAACGTTTGTGACCAACTACTATCGCCTCCCTCCCTCTCCAGGTGCTGCAGGTTCTGTGCCTGATTCCGTGGTGATCACGGTGGTGACCAGACCTTCCCCCCAGGTGGTGTTGGGTCTGTACCTGATCCGTGGCGACAACGTGGTGGTGATCGGCGAGATTGACGAGGATCTGGACTCGCGCGTCGACTTCCAAAACGTGCACGCCGAGCCGCTGATGTCGATCGTGCGCGGCTAGCCGGGCACGATCGACATCACTGCCGGACGCGGCTAGCCGGGCCGGGCAGTGTGGCCTCCGCCGCGCTCGCTCCAGTGCGGTACGTGTCAGTCCCCGACCATGGGCTCGCCCGCCGGCGGTGACGCCCGGCCGCGGGACGGCACCGGCCAGGGTGGTGGCGCCGCCCCGCACGGGGACGACGCTACAGAGAGTGTTGGTGACCTCGCCCGGGGTTGTGACGGCGACCCACCGGGAGGTGACGCCGCGAGGCATGCTGAGTACGCCTGCCCGGCGGCGGGCAACGCGGCGCTGACGGGGGAGGACGTCACACTGGACGATGCCGCCAGGCGGCGCCACATGGACGCGGCGTTCGCGGCGGCGCGCGAGGCGCTCCGCCATCAGGAGGTGCCCGTCGGCTGTGTGATGGTGCGCGCCGGCCGCGTGCTGGCCACGGGCCGCAACACCGTCAACGCCACCAAGAACGCCACGCGCCACGCCGAACTCAACTGCGTGGATGCCATCTATCGGCAGTGCGGAGCGGCTGGCGTGCCGGCAGCGGCCGTGTGGGGCGCCACGGACGTGTTCGTGACTGTGGAGCCGTGTGTGATGTGCGCGGCGGCGCTGGTCCAGCTGGGCGTGCGCTCTGTGAGGTACGGCTGCGCCAACCAGCGGTTCGGCGGCTGCGGCTCCGTGCTGAGCGTGCCCGGCCGGCTGCTACCCACGGACGCCACGTTCGTCCAGGACGCCGAGCGAGTGGACGAGGCGATCGCCCTGCTCAAGGAGTTCTACAAGGGCGACAACCCGAACGCGCCGCGTGCGGAGTGAGGGGTTCGGCGAGTGCATTGATGCGTTTTGCCTGGGGCAGTGCACATCGTGGCTAAACTGGCACATGTCGCTGCCAACCTAGCGTTCATTTGAGTGGCCGGTTTGGTTCGCACTCACGTTGGGGCATGCGTATTTTGGTCTCGGAGGGGGGGGGGGGGGGGCATGCTGGTTGTACAAGCAGCCCTCTTCGGAGGACTGAGCCACTGTCCGCCGCTGCATTGTCGCCGGGTGACGGTCGTCGGCTCGGGCCGCTGCAGTGTCGCCGGGTGACGCTGTCGGCTCGGACCGCCGCATTGTCGCCGGGTGACGGTCGTCGGCTCGGGCCGCTGCAGTGTCGCCGGGTGACGGTCGTCGGCTCGGGCCGCTGCAGTGTCGCCGGGTGACGGTCGTTGGCTCGGGCCGCTGCAGTGTCGCCGGGTGACGGTCGTCGGCTCGGGCCGCTGCAGTGTCGCCGGGTGACGGTCGTCGGCTCGGGCCGCTGCAGTGTCGCCGGGTGACGGTCGTCGTCTCGGACCTGCACATCGAACGTTCGACGGACATGCCAGATGGCCGGCCCATGTGGTCGCTTCAGGCCGGTAGCATAAAATAACAGCCAGCGTGCTACAGATTGTGGGAGCACCGCGATACCAGGCCATATCGAAAACGGTGCGCCGGGGAATCAGACCTGAGGTGTAGTCAGTCGCTCTAGCAGTGAGGAGCTTTGTAGGTTTTTTGGTGACAGTTGTGTCATCTGTAGTCCGGCTGTTCCCGGAAATACATTGTCGTTGGTAGATTGTCGGCGGCGTCGCCACGTGAGCGGCATGGTGTAGGCCAAACCCTTGACTACACGACAGCGCACCTGATCACGGTCTGATGACCTTAGGCTCTCGTAATGCGTGATCCATGTCCGAAGAACTACACAGATGTTGGAGGGCTGCTGAATACGGACTACGGCATCCTGGAAGAGCACGTAGGAATATATGTGACTGAATAGCGATAGATCAGTTCCTGGACTGGGCTCGTGTCGTTCTCAGAATTACAGGCCTACCTGAGTCCCCGGTAGACGAGCCGGTAGCAGCCGGCGGACTCGCAACCAAGCGTGCTACCGAACCCCGCTATATCCATGGGGTGGGAGGAAGGTAGACAAATCCGCTCAACGACGGAAAAGTCACGAGGTCTGCACGCACGCATGCCTGCTTTTTAGAGCTGCTTATGAGGCGCAGCAGGCAAGTGACTTGAAGTTGCACAATTATAAGACGTCTGGTGTTGATCTAAGGACAATTTCATTCATCCCACTTCATGGTGTAGGTGTGGGCGGCTCAAACGACCAAATGCGTTTGACGAGATCGCTCGCAAAGTCCACTCAGAGTAATGTGGACCGCTCGGGTCTTCTCTTCTGCCGCTCTGACCTGATCTCAGTGACTGTCCGCAGCTACGTTCATAGACGTGGTCTCTCAGGTGTCCCCACAGAGAGGAGGCGACTGATCCACTTATCACCGAAGTGATTCTGAAACCACTCTTGATCCTTGGGAACAACAGGCATGGCCCCTCCTATTGAAGCCATTGCGAATGGTGCGCTTCTATGTGCGTACCTGCCCAGATGACACCAGGGTTTCTCCAGGACTTCGATATACTACCATCATTTTCCTTGAACCAGACTCGTCCGACAAAACCATGGCTGCGTATCGCTATCCATGCGGTTCATTTCACTGTATACAGCTACGGCTGCGGCGTGTCAAATCTCTGCCCGCCGCCGACCTCATGTTTTGTGTGGAGTTGTGGTGGAGGGGGGGGGGGGGGGGAGGGCAGCGTGCGAGCCGGCGGTTTCTTGCGGCTTTTGGCGCGGCCGCTCGTTCTGGACATGCCCGCCAGGATGATTAATAGGGGATGGCCCTGTGATACGCCGACCCCATCGGGGGAAAGGCTACGTCCATACGGGTATTCAAACATTCACGGCGTTGAAACTTTATCGGCCTGGCGCACCGACAGCTAGGTGCTGGGCACCTTCGCCTCTACACCATGTAAAGCCGGCGGAGGAATGGTGGGCATTTAGGCAGTTAACAACCCTGACCCTTTTCCATGTGCATAGAACTTTGCCTTGTATTTAACGCAATTTCAGGGAATGGAGTTCTTCAGAAATTTTGAGATTACACATTTGCATATCAATCCTAACAATTCGTTATATGTCGTACTCCCTCCGTACTGGCATCGTTTTGTCTCAATATGCATACCTAATATTCGAGGGTGTCACTTATAAGTGGTGTTAAGACGCGTGCTGGCCTTAACTTGGTGTTCCTCTACGTGTCTAGCGATCAATTTATTGGGAAAAGCAGATCGATCAATGCGTAGCCTCAGAAAGCAGGTTAAGTCAGGTTAAGAAGGACGCGTCGTAGTTGGGTTCATGTTTCGGTAACGCCTTTATCTTGCATGGCATCTCTACGCATTCCGTAAGGGCTACTAGAAATTTCTCATGATTTCTCATGATCATTTCTCATGATCATAGAAATTTCATCGAGTTTTTTTCTCACGGCGAGCTAAGTGCGCCACAGGTGATTTAACCAATGAGTCCTGGCGGGCAGCGATGGAGGCAGGCCCACACGTTGCGTAGGTGAGGGCTCCTCGCGAGCAGCACGAGAGAAAGTCCTACGTGGCACGTACGCAGCTTGTATGGCCTTGTGCCGAAGGTCCCTTTCCAACAAAAGCAAGGGAGCTGGCTGCCAGTCGATCTCTCCGCGACCAACAGATGAGATAGGAAACACTTTTAAGCGTCGCTGGCTGCTGGTGAGAGAAGCGGTGCAGCATGTGCTAGGTACAAGATTCGCGACTCTCAGAACGTGAGATTCCATTCTCAGTTGGCTGCCAGCGACTACAGAAGGCGAGGTTCGCACGTATGTTTCCGAGAAAAATGACATAAAATGAGCGGAAATAACCTGAAGGTGATAGCACGCAAAGGATATAGCGCACAGAGCACAGGGCACATAAAGCACATACCACGTAAATCTAACAGAACAAAAAGGCGACTTTGTGGCAAATATCCTTGGACATGTCCGCACATAATTTATTCCCCTTCATGCGTCGCTACAATTTCGGCGCAAATGCGACAAGCTCCGCCGAAAGTCACTAAAATAGCTCTCATTGACTTCGGCTACCGAGGCATTGGTTTTGGTTTTGCACTTGGTGGGCTTCGTTAAGTTATTTTGCTGTTTCGGTTTGGTTGGGAGTGGCTAGGTAATGCTGAGTACTTCATCGAAAGGTTAAGGTGCCCTGCGTTGAATATGTGATGCCTCGTAATATGAGTGAAACATTTGTGCCCATTTGGACGCTTTTAATTTGGAAGCGCATGTCTATGGAGTACCTGACAACCCCACACTTGGCGCCTGTGCGATAGATCAACATCAAACCATCCCCATTTTATCCTGATTGGCCAAAAATTCATCCTGGTGTGAAGCCAGTGAGTTTTGGTCACACCAAATCCTCCCAAAAATGCAAAACCAAGAACAAAAAAGGGTTGCTGAGGGCCCCATACCACAATCCTTCAGGACATCACCAGATAATCTTGTCCAGTTAATGTTCCATACTTAACAGAAAATGGTGACCTTGGCTGTTGTGGATTGGGTCACATAACCAAAAATGCCTGAAACCATAGGCAGATGTATTGGTTGAAGTGTTAGTCTACATATATGAGACCAAATAAACTATTGTAGAGGCTAACCTATGGCTCTTTTGATGCCCTCCTTGTACCCATAATATCCCAAGTTTTTTCCTTAATTAAGAATTTGTTTGCTTTGATGGACTGCCAGGCAACAGCATGCATGATGCCAGTGACAAATTTGGCATATTTCATGTTGGCACATGGCTGTGACTCCCATACAGCAGAAGTGATGTGACAAGGGCTGTCTGATCATTGTTAACCCACAGAAATGAACATGGAGCTAGCAAGGGAAAGCATTGATATGTTTCTGAACAACCGTGTGGTGGAAGCTGAAGAACTCTTCCGTCATCACGATGAAAACTGGCATGTCAGGATGGCACAGTGTTATGTTGCTGTCATGGTAAGTGCCCTTGCTGCTCTTTGGCATAATGATGATGCAAGTAAGGACAGAATATATTATGATCCAGTATTGTAAAATAATTGTTTTTTATGGCAGTGGTTGAGCTGATTTGTCATGCCAGTAAGACTGAGATATTTTCTCGGTCAGGAAACATTACTGGATTTTCTTGTGATATGAAAAGTAGGCCCCATATGCCGTATGCACATTTTTCAAGTCTTATGTCATTCATGAAATTAATTACATGATCAATATCTCAGTTTTAAGGTTTGCCTCTGTCTTTTGATTGGATGGCTTTTTATATCAGAGCCAATGTTGAGTGGTGTGTGGCACATCAGTCTGATCTCACTAACTGATTATCAAAGTCCAGTACAATTTCATAATGCTATGACAAAAGCTTGACATGCTGTGGTGTTTGGCACTGATCCTTCTACCCTGTGACATTACCTGACCTCAAATGTGAATGTTACCACTTTTTGTGGTGCATCTTGGCATCTAAGGGGACATGAATCTACCTGGAACTAATCTTGCCACATGAATCCAAAAGGCAGTGCTCTAATCATACAAACTACCAATCTAGAGACTCTTCTCTGTACAATATTGATTGTGCTAGGAGCGTAAGCTAGGAGCTTAGGAGCTAGGAGCTGAGGAGCTTAAGTGGGGCATTTCTACCATCTTTGAGTGATGAAGTGTTAAAAGTCTCCTGAAGTCATGGGGTAGTCATCTGGAACTATTTACAAGACTAGGGACTACATCACATTATTTATGTGGGTTAGTGGCACTCATCCAAGTTCCCATCAGTGAATAATCTGGGTTGATGTTTTCCCAACAGAGTGCTGTTGTGACATTTGAAACAGCTCAGCTGGAGCAGACACTGCAACTGCTGAAGGTGACAGAGAAGGCTGTGGCACCTGGCTCCGGCCTTGTCAGCCAGCTAAAGAGCAAGCTGAAGGGCACTGAGCAGCTCCAGGCATGTCACGTCTTCTGTTGCGTGTGATCACATCATCCCACTCAACATCCCCATAAAGAGGGTCCCATTTTGTGGACACCGCATACCACAGGCTGCCACACAAGTGCCACAGGCTGCCATAGGCTGCTTCAGACAGCTCAACTGTTTATCACAGATGGGCTTAATGGGAAGGAGTTGGTGCAAACCTTCACAGTCTGTAGTGTACGGCTGAAACAATAGCATCCATCCAGCCCAGCAGGCTTGGTCCTGTCACTGGAAACTTCCATTGGCAGGCTCACACTAAGGTGCTGCAAAGCTGACAACATAGCCCTTCCATCTGTCCATTGGTAACCACTGATGTCCGTGGCAGGAGGCGGAAGTGGTGGAGCTGCTGGAACGGCAGATCGTGGTGGCCGATTGCCAGGTCTGTGCTGCCGTCCTCAACTTCCTGCAGCAGGTGAGGTCAGCAAACAGCAGACAGCTGCCAAGGTCATTCACTGGGCTGCTTGCTGCCACAACTTGTGCTTCATCTATCCCTTTATCTTTCCCTTTGGCGCCAATAGTGTGGAGAGGATTGCACTTCATAAGCTTTTGTTGGATGACATAAGAAATATGCACCCCAGATGTGTGGTTACCCTTAACCATTGTTAAAGAAGCCTTGCGGTTGCTTTATGATGACACTGGATCTGGACTTCCAATTTGTATCTGACAGATGCTTGGCAGAGGCAAAGACAAATGTCCTATGTAAAATGTAGACAAAGTCATCTTGAAGGGGGTGCTCCTTTTTGAAGATGCAGAAGCAAGCTTCGGATGTGGTGAATTTAGCTTGCTTTCGACTTTTAGCATACTCTTAAGTGGAAAATACTGCTCTATATGACACAAGTTCTCTAGCGAATATGCCCCCTAATACTTCATGGTGTGATTGTGTCATCATACCTGGCACAACATTGTGTAAAGGGAGCGTTCCACATTTATGCGGGGTTTCGAACTGAAATAGCTATCTTGAAGACATTTGGTGCCATCCACAATCCTGCCCTTCTGAAGACGAAAGCCCGTCTAGTTTCTGAGCCATACGCCCGCGAAAATGGGAAAGGTATATCGGGGAGAGTATTTCAGTCACCTTAGCATTCATGATGTCATAACAACGTCATTCAAATTCTACCATTCCATTTGCCATGCGGCGATCAAGGCCAATACAAATATTATTGTCGAGGCGTTCATATCTGGTGTTCGTGAGCGCGATCGTCAGATATAACGGCCTGCTATTGGTTCACAATCAATGTTGTGCAAGGCGCGACGACGTAATCAAGCCATGACACATTGAGGAGCACGTTTACTAAACAGACAATTTTGCGGTCTCGAGTGGTCTTTTCCGCTTGAAAAGTATACCAATAGTTATAAGTGAGCTTGTTCATAATATTTCATGCTTGCTTCAATATTTTCAAATTTGAAGCTTTCCCAACAGCCTACGGACGGTCGTTATGTCTGAAAATCGTGCTAACGAACGTTAGATATGGACGACTGGACAGTTATATCTTCCGAGGCCTTAGTTGCTGCATGGCCAATGAAATGGCAGGATGGAAATGGTATCATTATGGCGTCATGGATACTTGGGTTACCTTGAAGTAGTCTGCACATCTTCATGGGCTCATCACCTCAGAAATAGAGGGAGGTTAAGTGGGGCAGCGCTGCTAACTGCACGGAATGATGTTCTAACGTGACTGTTTCAGTTGAAAATTGCATACAAATGTGGAACACTCCCTTTTAGATCTTTTGTCTCTTTTCTGTTGGAAGTCCCCGCTGGGGTGCCGGTAGTGTAGCGTCTGGAAAACTAGAGGCATGGGCTTTGATTCCCCGCGGTATCCGCCCTTGCTGCCAGGGTGAGAGGCAGGCGATGCCATGTAGCCTTAGCAGCTGAGCGCGTCATTAAGTCCCGGGAAGTCTCCTCTATGGTCCTCTCGGTGGTGGTGAGCTGGTATCTTGGGGAGGCCCTCGCCACGCTTCTCCTCCCCCGGTGTAGTGAGTCGGTCCCCTCCTCTCTGGCAGGACCTGGGCAGCTGTGTGAAGGGCAGCTGGGGACTGCGGCGCGCCTGGAAGACCTACGACAGGATCTACGGCCAGATCAGCGCCATGTACCGGCAGGTGCAGCAGGAGGTGCCTGTGGACGGTGAGCGCCCGTCGCCCGTCTCGTCCGGGCCGTCCCGTTACCAGCGTACCCTCCGCTAGACAGTGTTCGCGGGCTTCTGATCGGGGCTGTTATGAGAGCGGTAGTCTTATTTGGTTTGCGTCAGTCAAGTTTGCAAGGCGGCAGCTGTCGCTAGCAGCTGTCATTTAACCCTTGCGTAGGAAACTCAACAGTTGTATACCACGGTGCAAGCGTATACACGCTAACGCCCGTGAGAACGACTGTTACAGCAACAGTCGCGGCGATTGGGCGAAACAGCCCGTTATCAGGCTAAGCAGGAGCAGGCATTAGGCTGTCTGATGATCTTTGTGCATGGGCCGGCGCGGGTGATGGTAGGGCCGTTGACGTCGGGGGGCTCGTGTGTGCTCTGTGCTGTGTTCCGCGGTTATCGTTGTAGCTTTTGCTGCAGTCGCATTCCCGTTGCTTTGCTTACTCAAAACTCTAGAAGCGTTGTTTGAACGGTGAGACGGCCGTTGCCGTACGTGTGGTTGTCGATCAGAAGCCCCGAGCTGTCGATCTTTCGCCTGCCTCACCGATGATTTCACACGGGAGTTGCATGGGCCGCTGCATGGCCTTCAGCAGTCGATGCGCACTAAAACCCCACATCATCATCATCATCATCATTCACCCAGAAGTGCGTCGTCGGACACTGGCGTGTTTCCCCCTCCCCTCGATGCTCTGTCCGCGACCCGGCGCCGGTCGTCGTAAGCTTCACACCCCCTCGACGATTCCACATTGATGATACATTTCCGTGGGCTGTCCCGATACTGTTGGCACGAGTCCTGTGCTGTGATGACGCCGTTGGTCCGGTGCTCGGTCGTTGACACGGCACCATTGTCGTCTCAAGCGGCCGAGCCGGGTGAGCCGGCCGGGTGTGAGCCGCCGCCGCTGCCGGCGCGCCCGCTCCTGCCCACGTTCCTCCTCCTCACCGAGCCTGAGCGTCGGGAGCGGCCGCTGGCGGCGGCGGCGGCGGCCTGCGCCGCTCGGCCACCCGCTCCGTGTGGACCAGGCCGAGTAAGGGCGGACACTGGAGAGAAAATGGGAAGTGAGTGTATCTGAGGTGAGGGGAGGACACCGGAGGGGACAGGGGGAGTAAGTTTAGCTGAGGTAAGGGCGGACACGGAGGGGACGTGGGGAGGGGAGTGAAGTGAGTGAGAGTAGCTGAAGTGAGGGAGGACACCGGAGGGGACAGGGGGATGTGGGTGTAGGCTTAAGTGAGGAAGGACACCTGAGGAGACGGGGAAAGTGAGTCTAACTCAGGTGAGGGAGGACACCAGAGGGACAGGGTCCGGGAGGGGAGGGGGAGGGGGGGGGGAAATGCGTGTAGCTGAGTGGCGGCAGTCGCCGCGGGATCGGGTCCCGCGGGAACATGTACCTTGGACGGGAGCAGAGTGTGAACTAGCTGGATTGAGTGGGATAACTGCGAGCCCGGCTTGATTGATGCAGACCTCTTGGGTAATGTGTGGACTGTTATGGATCGCCCTTGAGAAAATTGGCTCTGAGCACTGATATCGGACAGAAAAGGGCGGTATTGACCAGCATAGTGAGCGTTGGCATTGGCCGTGAACGCGGGGTAGTAGGGTATGGTCGCCGGGGATGGGACCACGTTTGAAAAGACGCATCGGTCCGGGACATACGTTGGAAGGGGAGACGTGGACCAGCGTGAGCAGTGTGAGCCATCACAGTTGATGCGGGTATCTGAGGGAAAGTGGGGCAGTCGGTGGTCAGGGAAGTTAGTGTTGACAAGAGCGGTGGCCTGCCGTGACATCTGTCTTGCGAAGGCCCGTCACCGAATGGAGACCCACGCGCGCACAACTACGCTCGCTGCGTGCCGGGCGGCCGCGGGGCGCCCATGCGTTCCTGCGCTGCGGGTGAGGTGTGTGGAGGTGTGTTTGTTTGTGTGTGTGACGGGGCGCCGCCGGCTGTGTGCAGCGCGGTCTCGGCGGAAGCTGTGCGCGCCCTCATGGGCTCCGTGTCGCTGGGCTACGGTCTGTTCCAGCTCTGCGTGTCTCACTGCTGCCGTCCAAGTTCGTCAAGGTGTGGAGCCGCGTGCTACCTGCTCTCCCCCCCCCCCCCCCTGCCCGATTGTTTTTAGCGCGAGCACGGCGGCCAGCGCGTGCCCGCGAGACTTGATCTTCCGCCGTAGCGTTCAGCTGCTTGGAACTCAAGCATTTGGCCGTTTGGTGTTTGCTCAGCCAGCATTCGTACCCACCCAGTGAGCTGTTTGTGGTGAGAACATTCAGAGGAGGCTTCCGGGTAGCCATGATACAGGGCTTTTATATACCTCTGATTTTTTGTCCCATGTCTACGGAATGGTGCGATGACGGCACTGCTTTTGGACAGCTCTAAGTGCTCACAACAGAGTGGCGCTTGTTTGTCGATGGTGTGGTTGAAGCCGAATGCAGCTCAGGCATCACGATGCTCGGATCAGACGCTCAGACCGGCAACGCCGAGCGGAGGTGACGGACACCGCCTGACCTGACTCCGAGCGGCGTTTTCTCCGCAGGTGGTCCAGCTGCTGGGAGGTTCCAGAGTGACCGGTCGGCGGCGCTGGCGGCGCTGATGGTTCTGGCAGAACCTCGCGGGACATGAGAGCGCCGTTGGCCAGGTACCATGGTCGGAGAAATCGAGTACACTTACTGGCGTCCTCATCCGTGTTGGGGATATTGTTGGTGTGACAGACTTAGTCGGGGGGACATTCGCCATGCGATGGGTTCGTCGGGCGATAGAGCTGTGCTGATGACTTTGTACTGTCATGCTGGTTTTTGGAGACGTGGTCATGTGATCTTGTATTTGGTTAAACAAAAGTTGATCGGGCAGCACACGTTGTCCGGCATCTCGCCGCCTTTCTCCATGCCCGGACATCTCGCCCGTTTCCGTCCGGGACATCTCCTCCCGCGTTCGGTCCGGACATCTCGCCCGCTTCCTTCCGGACCATTCGCCCGCTCTCCGTCCGGACATCTCGCCCCGCTTCCATCCGGACATCTCGCCCGCTTCCGTCCGGACATCTCGCCCGCTTCTCCATGCCCGGACATATCGCCCGCTTCCTCCACGCCCGGACATCTCGCTCGCTTCCTCCACGTCCGGACATCTCGCCCGCTTCCATCCGGACATCTCGCCCGCTTCCGTCTATGCCCGGACATCTCGCTCGCTTCCTCCACGTCCGGACATCTCGCCCGCTCCGTCTATGCCCGGACATCTCGCCCGCTCCCGTCTATGCCCGGACATCTCGCTCGCTCCCTCCACGCCCGGACATCTCGCCGCGCTTCCGTCCCGGACATCTCGCCCCTTCCGTCTATGTCCGGACATCTTCGCCCGCTCCCGTCTATGCCCGGACATGTTTTGTCCCTCGTACACTCAGCCTGACGCTGCTGTGGTACCCCTGTAGTGTGTGTCTGACGCACCTCCTCGGCGCTGCTGTTGGTGCCATCGGTGATGTGTCTGACCACCTCCCCACCCTCTAGCCTGACGCTGCTGTGGTACCCCTGTAGTGGTATGTCTGACCACCTCCTCTGGCGCTGCTGTGGTGCCAGTCGGTGATGTGTTTGACCACCCTCCCCACCCTCTAGCCTGACGCTGCTGTGGTACCCCCTGTAGTGGTATGTCTGACCACCTCCTCTGGCGCTGCTGTGGTGCCAGTCGGTGATGTGTCTGACCACCTCCCCACCCTCTAGCCTGGCGCTGCTGGTGGTACCACTCGGTGGTGCGGCCCCTGCTCTCGCTGGACTGCCGTAACGTGGCAGCCGGCGTGGCCACCTCCGAGCATCCTGCTGCGGGAGACGGCCGGTCGCTACGGACAGGCGGCGCTGTTCCAGTTCTTCCGCGGCCGCGTCCTCCGCCCTGCAGGTAAACACCGGCGCCAGCGCGGCCCCGTCAGCCGCGTGTGGGTGTCACGCAGGACATTGCTAGCCTTCTAGATGCAACTGTGTTGATCATGTAGTCGCTCCCTGGTTGTTTGGACTGCCCCGTTACGTCAGATCTGTGCGTGAGAAACAGCCCCCTGGCGTTGCAGTCGGATCTGGAGGGCGCCATCGCAGCCTATGAGGTGGCAGCTAGCCAGGGTCAGCAGCAAGAGGTGCGACTGCTCTGCCTCCATGAAATAGGTCAGTTGCGACGAATGCGAACATCGGTTGTGGGAAAACGAAACGATGGATTACCCCCGGACACTCCGTGGACTGTGACGCGTTTGTATTTGTTTTAGACAGCTTGTAATGGATAGCCCTAAGATAGCACACGGCATGGTCAAGGCCATATAATTTGATTCGGATGACCGATTTGGAATTTGTTGACAAGATCGGGGTTTTCATTGCGATTTGGGCTCAATCTCGCTCCCACGTCGGCCATGCGAGGTGTTCTGTGAACAGCCTGATGGCAGAGTATTCATTGGCACCGGACCGATCGGTCGTGCCAGTTGGTGACGCGCCTGACATCGTCTTCAGGCTGGTGCCGGCTTATGCAGCTGGACTGGGTCGGCGCGTTCGTGGCGTTCTCCGAGCTGGCGCAGCAGTCCCGCTGGTCCCGCGCCTTCTACCACTACTTGGCCGCTGGTGAGACTCCTCCGAGCGCCTGCTGGAGGTCCGGGGGGGGGGGGGGGGGCTCCACTCCCGGTCCGTCAGATTCACCCGAACACACCCTGGCACTGGGCAGCGCTATTCGCTACCTCAGTGCGTTAGTCAGCCCACCTGCACGTACGTTTGGCATGCGGTATGAGATGTGTAGATTTGAAATGTTTGCCTGCCTGCTGGCATACCTGGGTATGGTTCTGGCTTCTGGAGTGGAGTTTAGCCATTCGTTGTTATGTGCTGCTGGTCCCAGGTATGTGATTGTCATGTTTGGCTAGCCTGGCTGACAAGCACAGTTTTTTTCTTCGCTTCTGCGGAGCTCCCAAACTACTGTCATTAATGAACTCGTAGTGGGTGATATATAGACTGTCAATCAGATATTTGGTTGTTATTGTTAGAATATATGCTGGCCGTCTACCCCTAGACATGCTTTGCCTTGGCCTTCTTGAAGACGTTACATTACTGTGCGGTTTGGGTGCCAAAAGTGTTTGCGCGCCCGTTTTCACGATGCTTCTCTCTGAATACGGACGTTTTACCACCAGCTTTTCCGTTACCTTACCGACTGGCCAGTCTTCCTCAGTCTGCCCCCAGCTCTCACGAGTGCGTTCCGCCTTGGTTGACGTCAGGTCAGGTCACCTTGTCGGCTGGTCTGCCATCTCCCCGTCCCTGGACGTCCTCCCCGTTCCCCCCCCCCCCCCGCCAGTCTGCTCGACGCCTCAGGTCAGGTCACCCTGTCGGTCATCGTTGCCGTCTCCTCGCCCCCTCACGCCCTCTCCGCGTCTCTCCCCCAGTCTGCTCGGGCGCCCCCAGGGCAGGTCACCCTGTCGGCCGGCGTGGCCGTCTCTCCCCGCCCCCTCCACGCCCTCTCCGCGTCTCTCCCCCAGTCTGCTCGGGCGCCCCAGGTCAGGTCCCCTGTCGGCCGACGTGCCGTCTCCCCCGCCCCCTCCACGCCCTCTCCGCGTCTCTCCCCCAGTCTGCTCGGGCGCCCCAGGTCAGGTCACCCGTCGGCCGACGTGCCGTCCTCCCCGCCCCCTCACGCCCTCTCCGTGTCCCCTCCCCCAGTCTGCTCGGGCGCTCAGGCGATGCCACCCTGTCGGCCGGCGTGCCGTCTCCCCGCCCCCTCACGCCCTCCTCCGCGTCCCTCCCCCAGTCTGTTCGGAGCCCTCAGGCGATGCCACCTGTCGGCCGGCGTGCAGTCTCCCCCCCCCTCACGGCCCTCATCCGTGTCTCTACCCCCAGTCTGTTCGGGCGCCTCAGGCGATGCCACCCTGTCGGCCGGCGTGCAGTCTCCCCGCCCCCTCACGCCCTCTCAGTGTCCCTCCCCCAGTCTGCGCGGGCGCCTCAGGCGACGTTACCCTGTCGGCCCGGCCTGCTGTCGGCCGGGCTGCCGTCTCCCCGCCCCCCTCACGCCTCTCCGTGTCCCTCCCCCAGTCTGCTCGGCGCCTCAGGCGATGTTACCCTGTCGGCCGGCCTGCTGTCGGCCCGCGCTGCCGCCGGGCGCCGGCCGGCCCGACCTGGACGCCTTCCTGCAGCGACGCACGGCGGCGCTGCGGCAGCCGGCGCCGCCGCCGCTCGCCCAGCTGACCTGCCGTCTGCACGCCTACGAACTGCTCTACCTGTGGAACGCGCTGCCCTCCTGCCCGCCGGCCGTCTGGAGCACGGTGCTTGAAGGTTAGAGGCGCGAGCGCGCTGGACCGGCGGTCGTGGTGCTGCCCTCCTGCCTGCCTGCCGGCCGTCTGGAGCACGGTGTTTGAAGGTGAGAGGCGCGAGCGCGGGGGACCGGCGGTCGTGGTGCTGCCCTCCTGCCCGCCGGCCGTCTGGAGCACGGTGCTTGAAGGTGAGAGGCGCGAGCGCAGGGGACCGGCGGTCGTGGTGCTTGCCCTCCTGTCTGCCTGCCGGCCGCTCTGGAGCACGGTGCTTGAAGGTGAGAGGTGCGAGCGCGGGGGACCGGCGGTCGTGGTGCCGGTTCTCATTCAGCATCACGACCTTCCGGGTGGTGATGTCTCCAAAGCAGCATTGCGCTTCAAGGCTTCTTGTTACTTGTTATGATATTTTCTGTTCTTTCTTAAGAGGAGTTTGTTTATTAAGCTAGAATAGCCAGGGCGTTGGGAACGCTCGAGGGCTGAATCTGCTGCATTGCTATTTCGTCTTTTCTTAATTTCCAGTCCCCCCCACCGCCGGCCTGCCTATCATCACTCGTGATTGTGATAGTTGGGTCCCCTGCCTGGCGTGTGGCAGACGACGCGCTCTGCCTCCCCTCCACCCCGCCTCAGTGGGCGGGGCCGGGTCCGCTGGTGCTCCTCTGCCGCCCTGTTCGCTGACCCGCCCCCACCCCGCCCAGACGTAGGCGGGCCAGGCTGCTCCTCTGTGTCACCGGGCGGGTCCCGTTGCGGTTGGACGTTCTCTGCTGGTGCTCCTCCGCTGTCTGCCGCTTGACCCACCTTGCCCCGCCTCAGACGTGAGCGGGCGTCGCTGGAGTTACCCGGCGCTGGCGGCCAGTGGCGCACCTGGTGAGCGGCGGCGTGCTGGACAACACGAGCCTGCAGCAGGCGAGCGGCACTACCGGCGCGCGCTCGTGCTGGGCCGCGACGACCGCAGCCGGCCGCACGTGGCGCCGCACGCCAGCTACGAGCTGGCGGTCATGTACTGCGGCGACAGCCGCAGGTGAGGCGGCCCTGCCAGGCGGTCACGCAGTGGCGGCGGCACTGGGCACCATAGGCGTGGGGATGTCTCAAAAAGTGTGTGGGGCAGGCTCAGGGTATACTTAGTGAACTATTACTGGGAAGCAAGGCCGCCGCCCCCCCTCGATGACCAAGGGTGGGTGGGTGGATAATTAGATGTCATGTGTGGAACATGCCATATATATATATATATATATATTATATATATATATATATATATAATATATAATATATATATGTATATATATATATATGTATGGTAATATATATATATATATATATATATATCTTATATTAGTTGTATATATTATATATATATATAATATATATATATATACATATATATATATATTACATATAATATGTATGTATATATATATATATAATATATATATATATATGTGTATATATAGTTGTTTCCCCCACCTGTGCACAATCTTGCCTATTCGACTCGTCTGTGCCATTCGGAATATAGAAAATCCAGCTTTACAGTGTTATTCGTCTACTTTTCAACGTTGTTCTCTGGGGAGGCGAAATTCCACCAGCGGGTAGGCATTTTGGGTCATTGGTGAGGCATCTGCCTCCACAGAATAGATGCCAAGCACGACCTGAGCAAAGGCTGATCAAAACTTACAATCAATGGCCCACATGTGCCCGAGTTTTCATACGCCTAGGTTTCGCCGGTTGCTTTTCAAGGGATATATTTGTCGCAGCATGTTAGCTGCGAACCAATTCGGAGCCTCGAGTGCCAGCTGTCAAAACAATGTGGCAAAAACCATAAAACTGGAGTTTCTCTAGCAAGCAATGAAATCACAAAGTTAAGGGCCTTCTTTCAGGTATTCTTTATCTGAGCCCTGCTCCCGTAGCGCGGGTCGGCGGCCACTCCCGTGGCCCGGCTGTCCCCCGCATGGCTGACTACGATCTGATCGTACGACTGCTTTTCTGCGTGTTCATGGATCAACATCACTACTTATTGGTGACAAGCATAGATTGGACTCCTGCTACATCATCTGTTTTCGAATTTTCTGCCCTTTACACCACACCGCAGCAGAAAAACAAGCTTTCGGGTAGCTGCCTGCCTCAGGTATGAGTTTAGGTCCAGCGGGTATTCATTTGCCCCTCATTCAACATAGCTGATTTCATCTGCTTTTGTATGTAGGCAGGTCATAGCTGGAGCCATGCCAGGGGGAATGTTTGATAATGATGACACTGATTAAAAATGTCATGAATTGGTTTTAACTTGATGATAAGGACGGATTAACCTTCACGACACCGAGAAGTGGTGCTGGCATCTGGTGGGTGGAACTACAGGATCAAAAGTAGAATATCTACTTTCCTGTTGCTGTAACTGTTAATTCGACTTTGGAACATCCTGAGATCCTTTGGGTTGCTGAGATTGCGAGCGTGTGGGGCTTAAGACAGTTGATGTTATTTGTTTTACTAGTCGATTTGGGGAAAAACATTCTCAGGCGAATAGGGTGGGTGGGCCCTTTTCATTTTATAACCTCATTTCGATCCACTCCATCCAACACTTCCGAGACCCCTTGCGTAAGTAGAGCACTAGAGGACACATTATCATTACCAGGGCTAAAGGACCATTCAGTCGTAGCGTGGGTTATGTTCCGGCTGCTGTTCTGCATTGCTGTCATTTGCATTGTCATTGAATGCAAGTCATTGAATTCATGTCAATCATGCAAGTCATTGCTGACCATGTCTGATGAACGTGTATGTTGATCCCATCTCCGTCGACCCGTCTCTGTTGACTCCATCTCTGTTGACCCATCTCTGTTGATCCCACCCCATTAACCCATCTCTGTTTGACCCCATCTCTGTTCACCGGGCGTATGGTGACCCGTCTTCATTGACCCGTCTCTGTTGACCCCATCCCGGTTGAACCGGGCGTCTGGTGACCCGTGTCTGTTAATCCCGTCTCTGTTGAACCGGGCGTATGGTGACCCGTCTCTGTTGACCCCATCTCTGTTGAACCGGGCGTATGGCGACCCCGTGTCTGTTAATCCCGTCTCTGTTGAACCGGGCGTATGGTGACCCGTCTCTGTGACCCCAATCTCTGTTGAACCGGGCGTATGGTGACCCATCTCCGTCGACCCGTCTGTGTTGATGCCATCTTTGGTGACCCGATGACCCCTGTTGACCCGTCTCTGGTGATCCCATCTCTGTTGACCCGGGCGTCCGGTGATCCGTCTGTTTTGATGCCGTCTCTGGTGACCCGGTGACCCCTATTGATCCGTCTCTGGTGACCCCATCGCTGTTGACCCGGGCGTTCGGTGATCCGTCTCTGTTGATCCCGTCTTTGGTGACCCGGTGACCCGACCCTGCCCTCTCTCCGCACAGCGGCGGGCCGAGGGCCGAGCCCTGCTAGAGTCGGCCCGCGACGCCTACAAGGACTACGGACTTCGAGTCGCGGCTGGGCGTGCGCATCCAGTCGGCGCTGAAGCGGCTGGAGAAGGTCACCAGGGAGGAGAGGGCCAAGTGAGCTCACATCGGCCGGCCCGGTGCGCGGCGCCGCAGTCGCCAGCGCTTCAGGATCGGCGTGAGGGCCACCAGAAGGCGGTGCCGACTGCTGCGAGGCCCCGTGCCGAAACTACACGTAGGTCCCATCGTTGGAGGTTGCTCCTCAGGTGTGGGACAGCGGTGGGTGGTGAGAGGACGGCGGAGCACCGGGATACAAGACGGAGCCCGGATAACACCCTGCAGTGAGGCCTGGGGTCAGACCGGGCTGAGGGGTCGCGCGTCAGGTGTGCTGCGGTGCCGGCCGTGGCGCGGCAGGTGCCGGCCGTGGCGCGGTAGGTGCCGGCCGTGGCGCAGTAGGTGCCGGCCGTGGCGCGGCAGGTGCCGGCCATGGCGCGGTAGGTGCCGGCCGTGGGGCGGTAGGCGCTAGCCGTGGCGCAGTAGGTGCTGGTTATGGCGCGGTAGGTGCCGGTTGTGGCGCGGTAGGGGCAGGCCGTCGCGCGGTAGGTGCCGGCCGTGGCGCAGTAGGTGTCGGCCGTCGCGCGGTAGCCGCTGGCCGTGGCGCAGTAGGTGCCGGTTGTGGACCTCAGGCAGTGATAAGGGCCGCCGCGCAGTATCTCATCCTTGTTATCCGGCAATCGGCTGGCGTACCTAGAGTAGCTGAGGGAAACTGACTGATGTTGTTAGGCATATAGCGGACGCTGTTAGAGAAAGCAAAGTCGTTGAGTCATTGAAGATCATTTAGACATGTAACACTTTCTCGGCCGCAGCTGGAAATATCCTTGCCTCACGGCACACGTATAGTATTTTTTCCCCAGGGCCGTATACGGACGTGCGTGGTCGATCCCCGACAACAAGCGCGTGGGTTCTGGCGCCCCACCGCCAGCCAGGGCGCCAGCCGTCCTCTGCTGTCCGGAGCCGGCCGCGGGGAGGCTTGTCTACACGTTAGCGCAGCAGCTACTCCGGCCGCTGGCACCCTGCGCGGCGCCGCGGGGCTTTGGCAGCCTTGGGCGGGCGAAGGAGGTTGTAGATGCTTTGTTGGTCGAGTGAGGTTAGTTTTTGGGGATTCCCAAGTAAAGTTGTGTGTTTCGCCGAGCCAGGCAAACAACACTATAACTACCACTGGCCTGTGCTGTGTTGTGGAGGGTGAGTGATAGGTAGGGTTTTCTCGGGTCGCGTCCCATCGGCGTTTGACGGTTGTGCAGGGTGGCACGTGGGCTCGGTCCCAGGTGAGTAACGGTATTACTTCGGGTTTGTCGTGGTGCCTTTGTATTTCTAGTCAATGTCTCCATCATTTGGGGGTGATATCTTTTAACTACGGAGCTGATGAGTCACCGGACATCAGTTTACCTCTGTTGTCCAGGCTGACTGTCGTCTGGCGTTCCAGTGACGGTCGATATCGGACGATTTTGGGTATCAGCTGTTGTGCATAGTCTCGCCTCGGTCTTCGGCGTCGTCTACCAGGACATATGGCGTGTGCCGTAGTTTGTTTCGTCGCCGGGTGGCTTGTGGTTTCAGGGAGCACGTGTTGTTTTCACTCCTGCGTTTTTTTCTTGTGTCGATGGAGGGGCGCTGCGGCTATGTTTTAAAGTCATGATCGCATCTCCTCGTACAAGCTCAGTGACAAGGAGCGCATACAAATGCATGTTGTCTCCGTATTTGGGATTTCCACAACTTGCATCTCAAGAAAAGAAAACGCGTATATCTTGGTACGGTATGCCGCCCGGGAATCACGCGACACCGCGTCATATATGTACAGCGTGCCTAGACTAGCCCCCGCTGAAGGTACCTTGCTGTGTGTGTGCGCTTTAGCTTGGCGGTAGCCGAGGTGCGCCGAATGGTTAACTTGCGCGCAGGAGACCCGTAGGAAGTCTGCGGCAGTCAGCAGCAGTGTGTGATGTCAGCTAGAGCTGGAACGGATCTGCAATACTTTTGATATTGTTTTGCCTACACCAGCGCGCTTTTCGCTGTGTGCGGGGGTAACAAACAGCAGGTCGACGCCTTAGATGTGAAGCTCAGTGCCGACCAGTTTTGTGTTGTTCCGTGATTCTGGACCACGGTTGGTCAATGGTCCTCTTCTTGACCGATCGCGCCAGGTTCTGTGCTGCTGGGTTTCCTTCGTTCAATAGCTTGGCTATCAGTAGATACCCCTCGCTGTCATTGATTGAATGGCACATGCTAGCGCTGTTTGTCTTCTTCCCCGTTTGGTTCCGTCTGATTTAAAATCCGTCGCGTTGAGAGCTGACGGCGTCCAAAGCTCGCCGAGCTCTCCGGCGGCGCTGGTCTGGCTGCTCTGCGTGGCCCTGACCGCTCGTCATATCTAGCACCTGGCGTCGGTGGGCGTAGTGTAGCGTTGCCCAGCCGCACGGAAGGAGTCGTCGCGACCGATGTCACGTGACCGGTCTGATGCTGGGGCTCGAGGGGCGCCTCAGTTGTCCTGTTGCGGCAGACGACATTCAATAACTCCAGCTGTGAGGCGGTGGCGGTGGTCGTAGCTGTGACCTTTGATCGTTACGGTACTGTAGGCTTGTCTGCGATGCAATAAAAGTACTCTGAGGTCTCGTGCTGTTTGTGACCAAAACCACTCCGCCATCCGAGGTAGTTTGCTGAGGACATGTGCATTTAGTTGATGCTGCCGTCCGAACTAAGCTCTGAAAGGTGTGCGACGGAGAACGTACCGCGTAGCGGGTAAGAGTGAGCCCTCTTGGTTATACGCACGGAAGCTCCCGTGTGTAGTTTTTATGGGGATAGTCATCTGCCTGAGCTGAACTATGACCGCAGGTGGTTTGAACCTATAGTCAATTCGGCGGCAACTCCACGGCAGCAGCGTCGTGTGTAAATGGACATTTTTTTCAGATATTTTTGTTTTGAATCTTAGCATTTTTGAGACCCGCGGCGCGCCCTTTGATCCTCTGGTCCCGCTTCTTTTGACATGCGCTCGGGTGGGGGTCAACTTGACCCCCCCCTCGAAGGTTTTTTCCAGAATGGGTTTCCGAACTGCGCGGCACAGCCCCAATTTTGCATAGCTGTAGATAATTGAATGGCGGTTTGTTTAGTATCAAATTTGTGGATGTACCTTGTAAGGTCGCAGACATATGGGGGGTCAAAGTCAGGCCATGATTTCAGCGGAAGCTAATTTCCAGGGAATCGTTCAATCTGATGCAACAACGTAGTGTTTGGACAAAGGCATACGTCTCTGAAGTGCTCTCTTAGGCAACACATGTTAAATGGGGGAATTACGTTGACCTAAGGTCAGGTATGAGTGGCAGACCAAGGTCAAAACCGACCTGTTTTATTCCTCAGGCTTGCTGTAAGGGATAGTTTTCGGTGCTCATTTCGAATTTATTGATAGCAGGAACCGCATTGTACATATTCTATACACTTCTTAGAGGCCAGAATAGGTTAGTGACCGAAAATGACGTAGGCCGACATTTCGTTTTTGGAGACATACTGCCTAGCGTAATCATTGTCGTTTATTCAAATGCAAGACTGGGAACAGTCTTTTGTGATTTTGGTCACCATGACCTTCAAAAGGTCAAACAAGGTCGGTGACCTTAAATGAGCGTGTGACTTTTAGCTTAAAAACAGTTATCTAGGTTCTGGGGACACTTTGGAGACCAACCTGGAACTTGACCTTGTTTAACCTTATTTGACCCGAAGGTCATGACCTAGTTACCTTACACTTGACCTAAGTGGGTTCACGTACAGTTCAACATACCCTGTAACTTTGGTGTTCATCGTTTCACAGCCTGCCTTATTCAGCCTCGTGCCTGCCGTACCTTCAGGGGCGTCGCCATCAGGACTGGCGACACCGTGGGGACATGGGGTTACGCGCCTCTCACAAGTTTCGGAACGTAAAGGATTGTAGTCTGCAAGCTCGAACAACCTGTAATTGCCAGACACATGTATGCACGTCGTGTTGCGCCGTTCTGAAGCACACAATTTCACGTAGGGCGCGTAAGGAGTTTTTCATGCTTATTACAGCCAGTGGGTTGAAACAAACCAGTTTTCTTTACAAAAAGCGACGGTTTTCTTCTATACTTCCTGCATTACTGAAGCGAAAATTAAAATACATTGGGTCGATGAGCAGCGGAACGAATGAGAATTTGTCAGCAACGAGCTGCATGAGCAACAGGGGTGAAGTTTCGCGAAACGATGCGGGCTTAACCACGAAAAAAGTTATGCAACTGACCCGTAATATTTGCCAACAGAGTTTCTCTCCTCATTTGGCTCATCTTTCTATGAAAGCTGGGGGATGGAGACGAAGTCGGAACTGAAGCCCCTCCAACTGAATAGATAATTGCAACCTGTTGACGTATTAAATAGGGAAAGTGAATTCAGTGCGAGTAAATAGTTAAATGAAGCAACTGATTGGGCCGATTATTTATTGTGTGGAAACATCACATCGACTTCTGAAAACCCATTTTCAAAACTGGGTGCCTCAATCTGGTCAACGTGCCGAATAGTAGCACGTTGACAAATGAAAATGGGACATGGAAAATGCACCAGGGACTAAGTGGCAGTCCGCTCCGACAAATCCACAGCTGATCCCCTTTCTCGGCTTGACCCATTTTGAAATCAGTGCACAGTGTATTTCCCCCATGCGAACTGCAAATTACACCACGGACTTGACGTTGCCCGGTTTCTAATGAGCGCCCGTCGCCCGTGAAGATAAAAGGGCGTTACGTCTCTCATGCACTCCCGGCAGAGCCGTATATTAACTCCCCCTGGTGCCGGGACCAAGTGGCGTTTATAACGGGAGCGCGTGCCTTCTGTCGCCTCACCTAAATTCTGCGAACCAATGCACCTCCCCAAACACGCCAGAATATTGCGGACGGCGCCAGTTGTATGGGCCGCAGCCGGGAGCATGTACTGCGGCACAGGGTTTAAACCGACCAGATATTTAGCATTGATTAGACGTGTTCCCCAAACGGTATTTGAATGATGAAGGAGCCATCAGTGCAGATAAGGAAAGGTAGTTTGCGATTTTCTTTGTGAGACTCACGCAGATCTATTTGTCGCTTT